GGGCACGGCTAACTCACAGATCAAACCCTGAAACAACCTCTGGGCTGATCTAAGTCAGGGCACGGCTAACTCACAGATCAAACCCTGAAACAACCTCTGCGTTGATCCAAGTCAGTGCATGGCCAAGCTAACTCACAGATTGAATTTAGGGTGTTGGGTTTCGTCAAGGAATCATAAGGATGTTGGAAAAACTTAGAACCTAGAGAAAAACGACTAAATTGAATTTTTTTTAGTACTTTTCTTGTTTGGTACTGATTAGATTCGAGAACTTCAAGACGTTGCTGCTGAATTGGCACAGAGAATGGACAAGATACGAGATGATCTGCGAAGAAAAGAAGAAGAGCTGAACAACTTGAATAATGCGCTCAATTCTACATTACCTAGTGATCCAGCTTACGTGAGTCTGTTAGGAGAAGATAGAGTTAACCATGTTATTCTAGCAATGTCTTAACGGCTGTAGGCTCTTTCTTACGTTAGGAAATAATGGTGATGGTGGTGATGCATGGGCGTAGCCATGATTTTGCATTGGGGGAGGGGGGCAAAACCCGTTTTCAGAACATCGGTAAGTCGAAGTTATCACGTGAGTACATAGGTTTTTATGTTTTTACAGCGTGAGAATGGGGAGGGCCGGGCCCCCTTGGCCTCCCTGGCTACGCCCCTGTGATGGTGTTGGTGATAATAATACTGTTACTGAAGATGATGATGATGATGATGATGATGATGATGATGATGATGATGATGATGGTGGTGGTGAAGATGATGATGATAGTGGTGATGATGATGATTGTTATGTCAAACATTGTCGTTGCTGTCATCCTCATCATTCATTAGATTCTTTGTTTGATGTTTTCTTAGGATCAGTTAAAGACAAGGCTTACAGCGCTTCAAGATCAGTTACGCAACGCTTTGAAAGAGTACGATAACTTAAAGCAAGACCACGACAGAACATTACGAACACTGGAGGACGAAATGGCGGAATTACAGCGACTACAAGATGAACTCGCTGCCAAAAGTGAGCACGTAAAATTTCACATTTTTCACAGAAAAAATTCAATCCTATGTCTTGTTCGAGTCCACTATTCAGTGAGGCAAAACGATCCTTTATGGGTTACAGCTATCTTCATGAGGGGGTGGCGAACTGATTGGGAATGTGTACTGAGTATTTTGTTTGCTGTCTAGGGAGAGAAGGAGAAGGGCAAGGCCAACTCAAGGAAGAACTCAAAGACATCATAGACGAGTTGAACCATCACTTGGATTCAATGAGGCAGAAGGTTGAGCAACAGGAGAAAAAGATCGCTAGACTGCAGCAGGATAATGACGGATTGGTCAAACAGTTAAGGGAGCAGCACGCTCAGATAGGAGAGAATAACCACTTGAAGAATGGTATAGCCAAGCTGCAACAACAACTACAAGGTTAGTGCGGACAAGAACGTTTGTATCATATCAGAGGTCTATCTATGGAAATCACTGGAACACCTAAAAATAGTTCCTTAGCCTTCGTTTGCACATCTGTCTCTCTCCATCTCCCTTATCTCCCTCATCATCCCTCATCTCCCACCATCTCCCTCATCATTACCCACCACCACGACTACCACCACGACTACCACCGCCACACATACCATATATACATACACAACGTTGCGAGTGTTGTTCCCTGCAGAAAATTCTCATCTCCCATTATCCACTACCCACCACTTCCATCCATACCACATATATATACACAACGTTGCGAAATGTTTCCTACAGTTAATTCTTTATTTCAAAATATTTTCCCCTCACCTCCCAAACCCTCCCCTTTATCTCTCTTTATCTCTTAAGGAGTATTTCATGATTAGAAAAATCTTTAGAATGGATATGGGATGCCTGTGGCGTAGTATTTACGCGTAAGACAGAGCAATAGTCACGACTAACTTGCTTGCATTGTTTTTCAGCTGCTCAAGATGCCCTCAACAGAGAGAAGGCTAATGCCAACGCCTTACGACGGCGACTTTCCGAACTGGAAGGCCAGGTGGCTAAGGGCAGTTCTTTGGAACCTCTTCTTGCTGACACCAAAGCGAGGCTGAAGGCTGCTGAGGCGGAAGCGGAGGAACTACGAAATGCGTTGGATCAGCTGAAGCAACAAATGAAGGTATGATAACATACGAGTGCCGAGTCTTCCTCGTCCACTTAAGGCGGGAGCAGGGCATAAGTCCGACACCGGAGCCTGCGATATTTATGGTCAGTACCGAGAAGAGGGTTATCTCCGATACTTCGGTAACCGCTGAACACTATTTACGTAATTTTTATAGCGCGCATGACTCCATGGCATTCATGTTGGATGATTTTTACAAAAATTTGTCATCCAATATGGTGCTCATATCTTTTGATGTTTTGCTCTGTTTTAAATGACTCGAATAAATTTGGGCATATGTTTTCAAGGCTGATCGCCAAGCTGCAGATGACAGAATTCGCCGAGAGCAAGAGAAAGTAGAGAAGGCATTGCAGGCAGCAAAGGCGGGCTTTGAAAGAGAAAAACAGATGAAGGACCTTGGGATACAGGTGGATTTACTCAAGGTACAGGAAACGATGCAAGAATCCATCCATCTTTCTCACTCCCACTCACCATCCTTTCAGCTAATTTGATCTCATCCTTCTGTTAATTAAGTCGTAAATACAGAATGCCCGTGTACATTGTTAATTATAGCTGCGTATTATATTTACGCATAGGCAAGGAACGATGAATTGGAGCAACGGTTGAAGGAGCTTGAAGAGGATCTGAAAAACTCCTTGGACAAAGACGAAGTCCTTGACAGGCTGGCTGATCTAAGAGATGATATTGATACCGAGAGAGAGACTGTTCGTCAACCATTAGGACGTGGTGATGAGTTGGGAGAGACGTTAGGGGATCTGCATCAAAGATACTTGGATATGCTTGCAGCACTGAAGAAAGAGAAACAAGGAGATAAAGTTGATAAGAATAAGGTACGGTGGACTGTTCATAAGTAATGGTGATGTTGGTGATGACAGTGTTGGTGATGATGATGGTGATAGTGATGATGATGGTGGTGGTGGTGGTAATGATGATAATGGTGATGATGATGATAATGATGATAATGATGGTGATGATGGTGGTGGTGGTGGTAATGATGATAATGGTGATGATGATGATAATGATGATAATGATGGTGATTATGATGGTGGTGGTGGTGATGGTGATGATGATAATGATGGTGATGGTGATGAGATGGGGATGATGTTGCATGATGATGATGGTGGTGGTAGTAATAATGATGGTGATGATGGTGATGGTGATAGTGATGATAATGTTGATGAGTTATCGCTGAACTAAAACTATACTTTCCTCTGTTCTATCAGATGGATGGTTTGATAAAAGATCTCAATGCTAGAATAGAAAACCTACAGAACGCACTTAAGCAAGCTAACGATCGTGCAAGACAGGTACGAATACAGTATATATATGTGACCATATAGATTGGTCTCTCATTGTTATATATATATTGCATATATTGCATAAATATTATTCTTGTTTCGTAGATGGAGATGGAGAACGAAGACAAGGAGGCTAAAATACATCAACTAGAAGGTGATCTGAGAAGACTAAAGGACAACCTGGCAAGACAAGGAGACATGCAGAACGAAGTACTCATTTTGAAATTTATCGTTATAAATGCTCTGTTTCAAAGGACCACTTCGACGATACGGCGGCCATCTTGAATCGTAATGCATTATGGGGCGTCCAGGTGGCAAAACAAAACAAAGATAGCGAATAATATGTAGATTTTATTCATTCATTCGGTCTTATATTTCTTTATTCATTCATTTATTCATTTTTCGCCATACCGTTCTACCTGGGCTACCTGTTGTCAGATCGTGACCAAGTCATGTCATAACTCTGGCCACCTGTTCATCAAGCACCTCTCATCCAGCCACTTTACACCAACAGCATTTTGAATTTATCTTTTACAGCTCGCACGACAAAACGCCGCCCATGACAGAGAAGTTAAAGGGTTAGAAGACGAAATAGCAAAGCTAAGGGATCGAATAAAACAGATGAGAAACGCCATGGAACGAGAGGTCTTTATGAAATGTTTTTTTCTTCTTATCGTTTATTTCTCTAGCACCTTTCTCCACAAAAACCTACTCTTCTTATTGACAGACATTAGGGTTGTTAGCAGTTTATCCAGATTTGTGTTTTGGGCCGGTCTATTAGTTGCGATTATTTGAATTCAAAACAAAATAATATCTTATTTGACTGTTTTCTCGGCTTTTCCGGTTTTCTTCCGCGCAAAAAGAAATCTTCTAGATTTCGATTCGATCGTGGAAAGAGGGCTGTAGGTTTGTTAGCCAGTGGCTATTAAGTGCTACCCTCGTAAAACAAGGATTACTCTTGTAATCATGTAATAACTGTTATTCCTATTCGATCGTGGAACAAGAGCAGCGTGCTTGTAAGCAGCAAGAGGTATCGGCCAATGATTAATATTATTTTTTATCTGTTGGCCGGATAGACTAAATAAATATATGATGTTTGCATAGCGTTGCTTGGTCTAGAGGAACAAACTTAAGTTACTTAACGGTTATCAAAGAGACCAGTGACTATTTTCCAACTCTGTGAGCTTGCCGACTTGCTGTAAACCTTTTCTAAGTTTCAGTTGGATAAAGCCGGTTATCGACATCGGGCTTCCTGTGGAAAAGTTTTTTTTTTTAAACAAGATGTTATGGTTTTTAGGTCGATAATGCTCGAGCGCCTTTAGAAAACAAGATTCGTGACCTTGAGGACAGATTAGACCAGCTACATGATCGATTAGTCAAGGCCAAAGCGGAAGCCGACAGGGTAAGGTTTACATCGCATTTTTTTTCTAATCATCGTTCCTTACTCTCGTTATCATGCTAACGCGCGCGGGGTTGTCTTCGCGACGAAATAGATTATGTTTGTCGTGGACGTCAATCAAAGCGTTTCCATGACATCGTCGCGAAACATGCAACGTTTTCAAAGGCACGTGTCTATGGATGTCATGGAAACGCCTTGATTGACATCCGTGTAAATGTAGCTGAAAGCGACGGTTAATCGTAATATTCCGCGTGTGTTCTTGATAACGAGTTTAATCTAAGATATAGGAAGTAGAATGTATTCCTATAGAATACTTATACATGTTTCTGTGATAGCTGAAGGGATTACACGATGATCATGCTGCTGCCAAGAAAGAACTCCAGGATCAGATAGCATCTCTTGCTGATGCTTTGCAAGATGCTAACGATCGGACGCAATACCTGGTAAGTTTTCATCAGGGAGGGTGGGGTGTGGTGGCTCCCCCCCTCCCCTCCCCYCCCCCTCCATTCAAAATAATTATCATACATGGATGGTATTATTTCTAAGTCCCAGATTCCATAATGTTTTGTGTTTCCAGGAAGATCAGCGCGCAAATGACCGACGCATGTACCAGGGTAGGATCAAAGAACTTCAAGATGAACTTGGACGCGCTAACGAGAGACTACAAAGAGCGCTGGCTGAAAACAACGACCAAGTATGTTTTATAGTGCAACACATTTTTTACCATTTTCTCCTTGCTTGCAAAAGAATGCGTACGAAGAAAATTCAAGGCTACATACCACGTGATTGGTACCATGGTAACCATTTTGTCTGTCTTGTAGTTGGACAAAGAGCGCCAATCCAATGCAGATAAAGTCAGAGGACTCGAGGACGAGCTGGATCGTTTGAAAAATCAACTGAGGAGAATGCGACAAAAAGCTGACGATGATGTAAGTGATGCGCAAAATAGATCTTTTGTATTTATGACAAGCAGCAATGTGAATAATCCCATGCTTTTCCCAGTATTTCAATAAGTTTCATTTTCCATTCGTTTTCACCAATTATTTTGGGATGTATTTGTCTCGTTTGCTTGTTCCTTCAGCTTAGTAAAGCAGAGAAAAGAAATGCTGCATTACAAACGTTACTCGACCAACAAAACCAGGCTCTGCAGGTACACGATAATAATAATAAAAAAAATGCACAGTAAAGCAAAGTCGGTCGACCTAGATTAACAACATGCCAAAGCCATGATGAATGAAATGTGCACAGGAAGGGAAAACTGCAATACGCATGAAATTAGCATAATTGTTTGTCATCCCATGCTCCCCTTGAGTCTTAGCTTTAATGATATAACCTTTTTTTGAACCCGACAACGTTTTTTTTATTAAGTGTGTATACAAAGCGCCATTTCCGTTAGTTCAATGGCGCTATTACAATAAAGAGGCAATTTATAAAAAAAATCCAACCTGATCAAATCGTTACTATATCTAAAGTATCCAGGTCGAATATTATCCTTTGCTGTGCAGAATGTTCATCATCTGAATCGCTACATGGTGTTCAAACACTGACCACCATTAGAAGCAGATAACAAAATTCAACGATGTTTATCAGATCATTAAAACACCGCAATTGTTTGATATTGTTTAAAGGAAAATACGCTCCGTGACCGTGCACACCAGGCAAGCGTCCAGGGACTACAGGACCAGATTGACGATCTGAGAAAAATGCTCAAAGAAGCTGAGAGCCAATTGCTCAAGGTATGTAGGTGTCAGCAGTAAACTAATCGAAGGCTGCTTTTTTTAAGCACCATATTTGTTAGGATAGGTTTTGTTTACTTGCTTGGAAGACCAATCTATTGTCATTTTAATCATATGCATTGTTATTTAAACCAATTATAAAACTTGTGGTAAACGGTAAAGAACTCCCCTTGTGTCAGAGCAGTTTTTGGGGTTCTGCGATTTCCTTAAATTCCAACATTTCTTGAGGCGACCGCTTTCAATTTGATAGACGTGGACACCAATATACGAGAAAACACACGTGTCTCGAGTGGTTCGCTTGAAAATCTTTTCACACGATAGATATTTCGTAGACTTATTCCATAGTTTTTGCTGCCGGCCTTTGTGGGGTTGTGGTCGCTAACTAGCGTGTGAGTGATGTTTAGTATCGGCAAAATTTGAGCGAAAACATCGACAGTCCAGCCGCTACCTCGTTCCGTATTCTCACCAGAGAAATCGTTATTCCTTATTTTATACGGTAACTTTGAGCTAATTCTAGCTCCACCACAGCTAACGTAGACAAGAAAATACTGAGCGTGGTTACCCTGTGTCCTTATTTATGCATCATAACGATATTATTTTAAGGAATGTAATCAGGCCTGGAATATAAAGGTCACGCTCATTTCCAAGACTGGTTTGGCGTCTGATCTCCAGACAACTCCCATAACTCTTTCCAACATGAAATCGTTTGTCGATGATCTTAAGAAGGAAGTCCAATGTCCTTTGTGTAACGATACGCTTACAGAACCCAAGATCTTGCCATGTTTTCACATATTTTGTAAGTCTTGCATAAAAAAACATGCCAAACTGATCGAAGAAGTCAACATCTTCAAGTGTCCAAAATGTAAATCAGAAACGCCTCTGCAAGAAACAAGCTGTATCGAAGATCTACAGCCATGTCTAGTATATGAAAGAATCGTGAAGGGTCTGGCGTTAGTAAAAGGAAAAAAGGTTTGCTCCGTTTCTAAGAGTCATTCTTCAGCTTCTTGGTATTGTTTTGATTGCGATCGCTCGATGTGTGTAGAATGCGAGAAAAACCATTCATTATTTATCAAAGATCACAAGGTCGTACGTCTGGCTGATTTGAAGAAAGAAGATCTTGAGTTCATAATAACAAGAGAAAATCCTTGTAAAACTCACTCACCTCACAGGCTAGAGTTGTTCTGTGAAGACTGTGAAGACATGATTTGTGTGACATGCTGGAAAGACGATCACAAGGATCATAAGACAATGTCTTTAGATAAGTTTGCTTCAATCAAGAAAGATGTATTGTCAAAGCATCTGCAGGTACTAGAGCATTTGAGATTAGATGACAAGGAGAAGCAACAACAAGAAAAGATTGCTACCACAATCAAACAACAAGGAGAAAAAGCAAAAACAGAAGTCAAAGAAAAAACCGAGAAGATCATTGAAATTCTACGAGAAAGTGAACGAGAATTGCTGAGACAAATCGACGAGAAGTTGGACACAGCCACAACAAACTTGAATGTAATTCATCATATTCCAGCCGTCAAGGAACACATCAAGAATGTGATGGAAAGAGGACTGGCAAGTGAAATGATGAACATTCAAGAGACACAATGCTCGGAGAAATTCATCTTCAACCACATTCCACTGTCCTATCGAGTTGAGTTCATTCCTAATGAGCAGCTTGTGCAAGAAGTGAATTCAGGGCTGGGAGAATTACTTACTTGTTTGAAAACGGACTATAGGAAGAGCACTGTTGAGATGAAATCTGAGATAGAAGCTTTAAAGAAAGGAAAGCTGGTATGCATAACTAAAACCTCGACAGGAGAACGCAATCATGATCCAAGGGATGTTATAGACGTTCAAATCAAGCCTGAAGAAAATGTGAAAATAGAAAAGAATTATTTGACAACTAATGGTAAAGTAGAAGTTGAATTCATGGCTAAAGTAGCTGGTCGTTTGACAGCAGAGGTTCAAGTGAATGGGAATCCTGTATCTAACAGTCCACTAGTATTTAATGTCAAGCCACAAGAGATGAGAACAACAGGACAGTTTAACACGAAAGGTGTAAATATAGAATCTAGTAATTTGACAGGTATAGTATTTAACAGAGATAATAGTAGGATCGCTGTTGCCAATAGGTCTTCTGACTGTGTTCATGTATTCACCACTGATGGAAGTCTCTTACTGACGTATAGTAGTCAAGGTAGTGCACAGGCACGACTGTCTCGTCCTGTAGGTTTAGCATTTCTGAACGATACAGATTTAGTCATAGCAGACTCTTGGAACCATAGATTATGTATAGTAAACACTACGACAGGGACATTGGTAAAGACCTTTGGTAACCAAGGTAACGGGGATGGAGAGTTTCGTAAACCATGGGGAGTACACGTTGATGACGATGGTAACATCATTGCGTGTGATACTGATAATCATCGTGTTCAAGTCTTCACAAGAGACGGTGACTATCAATATCAGTTTGGTTTGACAACACAGGACAAGTTTACTCCATCTGATGTGATAACACATGATGGACTGTTTTACGTCAGTGATTATAACAATCACGTTATTCATGTATTGGAGAAGAAAAATAAAGTACCGACTAGAATATCAACGATTGGTGGTAAAGGCAGTGCTGATGGTCAGTTGAATAGACCAATGGGCCTGGCTATTGATAATGACCATCATCTACTGGTGTGTGATAATGGTAATAACCGCGTACAAAAATTCACATTGGATGGTCGTTTTGTTGGAAGGACTTGTGATGTAATCAACAACCCTAAATATATAACTGTCTTAAAAGATGGTCAGTTATTAGTTAGTACGGGGGATTCCGGTGTGCTGTGTGTTAAGTAGAACTTGCTATTATTAATGTATATATATATAGCACTCATTATACTTATAACATTATTGATCAATAAGTTGTATCTTAAGGCGCGATTACACGGACCAATTTTCTCTGCTACTTTTCTCTCACAACAGCTTTGCGACACAAGTTGCACGAGTGTTTACATGTTGCAACGGAGAAGCAAACCAAAAGTATGGAAACGAATTCCAGTTTTTGCAACGATTGCTGCAACTTGTCTCACGACATTTTTTTTCAAATTGCGCTGTATGTTATATGCTGCACTGCTTCATGCAATTTGTGTCGCAACGCCGTTCCTTTTGTTGTTGTGTCACAACATCAGACAATCCGATATCATAAATACTATCAAATTATCTTTCAAAGTTTGTACATATTTTATGAGTCTTTTAAGAGCACTTATCACTTACGATTTAGCCCTTCTTTGGTCAGGTTAATGAGATTATACTAGAGTGCATACCATATATCCGTGAAAAACTTAACTAACAAAATTGTACAAATTAGTGTAAAGTTTTGTAGGTCTACTGAAGTCTACTGAGGTGTACTGGACTTACTAATTCGTGCAAATTTGTTCAATTTCTTACGAAGTCTTTTTACGGATATATGGTCTGCACTATACCATATGGTATTTACTATAAACTTGTTATACCCATAATGCATTATGGTTATGGTAGGTCTCGCGTTCTGTTGCTATGACAACCTAAAAACCCTTAAAATATGAAAGTAATTGAATATATTACAAGGCTAGCTTCGATCTGACAAGCAATGACGAAAAAGAAGTGTAAGGTTTGATTACAATAAACGATTTTTCTTCGTTTTTCTTCGTTTTTTATTACTGTTTTTATTGCTACGCGCTAATCGAGTTTCATCAATACACTGTTATCAATCAAATGCATAATTAGAGTACATAAAGGTACATGGGACCGTGCGGAGGTACATGGGAAACTATACTGTAACGGTCGTGACATGGAATAGGCAATACACTGCCGTCAATCAAATATATTTAATGTAATGTGTGGATAATATTTAATATTTTAAAAACATTTGGATTTGGAAACCAATTACTGAAACGATTAATTTGACAAAAGTTGTTTTTCGTGCACTTTAAAAGAAACCTTTCAATGTTTTGATGAAAAAGCCTTTTTTTCGATGCCTTGCAGGACAAGTATGAGAAAGACCTTGACGCATTGCGTGCTGATCAGAGATCAATGGCTGCTCAGGCTGCTGCGGCAAAGGAGCTCGCAGATGCACAAAAACAGGTACATGGATTTAATAGATGATTCGTGCATCATTTCTTGGCTAATGACTCAGTGTCTTTTCCGCCCCAACAGATTGCGAGACTACAAGCCTTTTTGGCTGGCAGAGATGAACATTTACAAGAACAGTTGAAAAAAGCATCCAAAGAAGACCCATTATYAGGTTAGTGTTGTTGTTACCTATACTAGAGGGGTTTTCGTATGAGTGGGAAACGACACGGCAAAAAGCCGTAGCAACGCTTTGTGACTCGATGAATTACTGGAAGACAATGGGAAACCATTTAAATGTTATAGCACGTCGTACCGTGTAAGTACTCTTAGTCAGAACTGTATGTTTCGCACTCATACGACACCAGATCTAAACCTTTTTGAAGTGCATCTTGTAGTTACTGAGAAGATTTTCCATATATTTTAGGTACGCAGAGAGAAGAGATCAGTAACCTCGCATCAGCTTTATCGCAGCAGAACGCCGAGCTTGAACGACTAAAACACGAGCTGTCTCGTCTGAAGAGGTCCCCAGGAGATCAGATATATTCTGTTCCACATGGTGAGTAGGAAAGAATGGGATGATATTATGTCCCGTCTCTTTTTTTTGATACATTTTCATCCTTTCGCACTTCAGGACCTACCCTCCCCTCCCTGGTTGACGAGATCGACGCACTGAGAGCAGTGTTACACGACCGAGAACGTCAAATCGAGGCTTTAACACAGGGATACCAACCAGGTGTAGGTAATGCTATGGGAATCGAAAGAACTGGAATAGCAACCACGCCTGGAGTTTTGGTTAAGGGCCTGGTGAACAGTCAAGGAGAGATACATCACCATCATCATTTCAAAAAATCTGCAAAAGGTAAAAAATCGTAAAACTATAAATAGATTTTAATTTTAAAGCTCTTGAAATCCTTTGGGATTTTTTCATTTTTGTTTGGGGGGGGGTGGGGAAGATATGGGTGGCTCTAAAACTTTCAGTGTTCAACGGTCCTTTGTTTGTGAATCTGGTCTAATTTCTAAACGGCTTTTTTTCTTGGATTTTCTCAGTTTGAATATAGCCAACAATGATGCCTTTATTTTTAGGTGGTACTCGATCTAAAGGCACTACAGTACCAAATATGGAGTTACCAACAAGCCCTACAGTATTGGGAGCCTCAGTTGTCAGCCCCGGCGTATATGGACCTTCGGTTCATCATCACCACTACGATGGTGTTTCAGAGGACAAAACAAAACGAAGGAGAAAAAAAGAAAAGATGGATGACCCGTTTTGTAACGTGCCCGAACACGGAGACCTGGTAATAGTCACGTGATACCTCCATATTTCTCTGTTTGGTTCATTTTTAAGGGTATCCACTGTTCAATTAATGTGGGTTTTATGTTTTTGTGTAATTGAACACGGAGACCTGGTAATCCAAATCAGCTGGTGCATTTTTCGTGGTTTCTGATGTTTAATGTGGTGATTATTGATTTATGGGAATTTCTTTTTTGGGAATTTTTGTCCCTTTTTTTCTTTCTTTTTTCATTGCACATGAACTATTTATGAATGCAAATATTTCGATTTTTCAGGACTATGAAGTGGGACTTCTTGAGGGAATGTTGACTTCTACCAAACAGCAATCAGCTCAGGTGAGTTGGGTACCCTGTGGAAAGACATATAGCTCTTATTCAATGCGACGAAACGAAGTCCGTGCCGTAGGTTATGACCAAGTTTTCAGTTTTCCATCTGCCTTATGACCCAAGTGCTTTGCGCGCGGGCCATGAAAAAGTGGGGAAATCGAGAGAGAGCAAGGAGGTTAATATTATATGTTTATTTATATTCCAATTATTGGGCTTGTGGTCCGTAACGTAAGTTATGGACCGCAAATTGGCCAATGAAAGCGCGTGAAATTACCTTGCCATGTACTTTTACTAACAATAGAGCATGGTTACTTTGGTGATTATATATGTGTTTGTATACATTTTTGGCTTGAAAGTAAAAACATTGCATTACAAGTTGCAGTAAAAGTTGCATCGTGCAATAGGGCCTGTACGGTTTTCAAACTCATCATCGAATTTTCTTTGATATTTGATCCAACCAGTAGATAAACATTACATTAGTTTGCAATGCTAATTCCTGCTCTATTAAATTACTATTTACACAAGCTTCCCTTACATCTTCACCTTCTTTGTTTCAACCCGGACTGACTTCAAAAGAAACTACCTTTCCCTTTTGTCTGCGTGCAGCCTCCTCAAACAATCTTGTCCAAATATCTAGCTATGACAAAATGTTTTTACACGAAACTTAACACTCAGAAGTGACATCTTCCTTGGTGCTCTTATCTTTCAAATGTTGACCTCTCATGAACCTTACGAGTAGTTTCCAATCAATAAATAAGTCGGAAATGCTTGGGCAGTCGGTTAGTCCGTTGCTTAGAGTTTCATTGGGTAGAATTTAGGTTTTTAAGTTGTAAGATGTCCACGAAAGAAGTTAGATTTCATGAGAGTACGTCATATGTACCTGTTAAAAAGGTTGGTGTCGTTGTTGTGTATTCTAGGATGAGTTAATTAGATCTAATCTACATCGTGGTTTATATTGTCTTATCTCGTAGGACCAGAGGGATTCACTTCGGAATGATTTACAGAATCTCGAAGACGAGGTAGGTTTATAAAATCGTATCCTAAAATAACTATAAATGCCGAAAATGAAGGTTAAAATTTATATTTCTAGCACGATTTATGGTTGTGTTTTGTCGTTCCCGCCAAAACTGCCTCGCACGACGCGTCTGCAACTGAGACCTGACATGTGTCTTCCAACCTTTTATAACTAATTTTTAACATTAAGAGACACAATTTCTGTAACTTCGCTAATTATAGCTTGAATTTAAAGTAGTAAAGCGATTTGAAAAGCATTTCTAAGGATCATTCAGTTGTTGTTATATGTACCAGACTTTATAGCATTGCATGTTTTATCTGAATCAATCGAAAAAAGATTGTCAGAAAAACGTGAGAGATAGTTATCATTTACGCATGATACGTGGTATTGTCTAAAAACGTGGCGTTGATAACTGAGTAGTGTGTTTATTACTCTTAGTTTTAAAATTTCTGAAGAAATTACCAAAGTTGACAACCAAAGAATGCAGTAAATCAATGCTGGAATGGAGTGGAATAACAATGTATTATATTGTATTATATTGTCTGTCTGTCACATACCTCACCACCAGACCGACGGACTCACAAAGTCTTGTCTGTCTGTCACATCCCCTCACCACCAGACCGACGGACTGACAATGTATTGTCTGTCTGTCACATCCCTCACCACCAGACCGACGG